CAGCAAACCCCTACCGCCCACCATGAAAGCTGGAACGCCCACTAGTAGGCGGTAGGGACCAGGTTGATTACCACTGCTGTAGAGTAAATTGGACTGAAAGAGACGCCTGGCCCAAAGCCACCAGCCAACTTTCATGCCCAAGGCAGGAGTAGAATTCAGTCTTCTGGTTTCTAGCCAATGGGTGGTGCTTTAACCACTAGACCAAAATGTTGTCGAGAAAACTGCAGGGACTATTGTCCATGTAGCATAATATTGTGCCCAGACAGTCTTAGCCGGTGACAGGGATCTGGGATGCTTGTTTGGGGTTAAGGGAGATCTCAATGGGATTTAATCATTCCTGCTCTTTAAGCCCCTGTTTACAAAACTTCTTTGTTAGCTTGCAGTTCTTGCACCGCCTACACAGTGTCAGAAAGCTAGAATGGGGGACTGGATCCCTTCACTGCATGCCCAAAGATTGTAGATCACCATTTTTTCACACTTCTAAATGGCATTGAGGGAGGGTTTAGGCAAGACCCGAAGAGTTGAACCTGCCTGAGTCTTTCCCAGCAGGCAGATTTGCACATAATGGCATATTCCTTTTCATTCAAGCAGCACATCCCTAATGTTCCATTCCTCCCAATATGCTTTTATTCTGAACGTGGGATGGGGGCAGCTTTGGAAAGACCCCTGTGGTTCTGCCTCTTTCATCTTCCCAGCCTCTGTGAAGGCCAGCTGTGATTTTCCATTCTCAGAAGATTTTCCTCCAATAACTGGCATTCTTCATAGCCTGTTGGATATAAAGTGTTGAAACCCATTTTTTCTCCCTCTTTTCTTCTGCTCTAAAAGAAAAACAGGCTAATTGTTTAAAAAAACTGAATTTTAAAAATCCTTCTTATGTAAGACTGTATAGGATAGGGACAGGAATTAATTACATTAAGTATAGCGCCCTGCTTTTGAGTCCTAATAATAAACCCCACAGTCACTGTGTTTAAATGCTTGATCATATCTCCTGTTTCATAGTTTCACATTTGATGCCATTTTTCTGGAAAAATATTCCTTGTTTCATTTTCCTCTGTTAAAATTGTATCGTTGTGAATTTTGAACCAGTGTAGGAGAATTCTCATTGTTGGTCAGTACAATCAGAGCATGGTAGATAAGAATCTGCTGTGATCAGATAGGTGGCAACTTTCCAGAGCTCTACTCTGTGTTAGCCCCGTGATGGCGAATCTATGGCACGTATGCCAAAAGTGACATGCAGCGCCATCTCTCCGGGCACATGAGCCATTGCCTGTTGCTCTTCCGGGTTCCGGTGCTCTGGCCAGCTGGTCTTCATACAGGCAGGAGCACAGGAAATCAAAAGAACAACTGCCCAGGGCACATGCGCGCCCTGAGAAGATGATATTCCGGTTTCCGGAGCATGCATGCGCACTAGCCACCTGGTCTTCTGGTTTCTGGCATGCATGTGTGCATGAAGACCAGCTGGATGATGTGCATGCATGCGCCGGAAACTGGAAGATCATCTTCCCGGACCGCACATGCTCCCCGGGCAGCTGCTCTTCCAGTTTCTGGCACGCTCTCTCTCACATTTTGGTACTCATTGCTGAAAAGTTTTGCCAACACTGGTTTAGCCACTCGAAGCTGTGTGGACTTCAATTTCCAGAATTTCCCAGCCTCCCAGAAAGAGAGGCTTCTTGGGTTGCAGAAAAACACTGAACCTGAAACTTAACTCTGGAGTCTTTCTATGCATCCCGAGTCTAGTCCTTGAATATCTTAAACAGCTGACAGTTTCTCTTATACATAAATGATTCACTTTAGCTGAATAACTTTAATTTCAATAATCTTTTTATTCTACTTTAATTGATTTTGTTTTTGCACTTTTAAACTTATATTGTAAGCTGCTCAGAGTCACTGTATGAGTGAGATGGGCAGCACAGAAATCCAATAAATAATAATAAATAAAGATGTTTTGGTTTAGTATGTTATGTGAGTCAGGCTACTGTGTTGCAGTTTATAGGCCATGATTTATGACAGTGAGTGTGCAAATCCCACTAGTTATATCTTCTTTTAATCATCATGATTCAAAATGCCAAATATAGATGCAGTGACATGTGTAATCTCAGAGGAACCATTGTCTCTTTGCATGTAATAGAGAAAAACCCAGAGGGAGATCCTTCTGAATTAATTTTTATATATATAGCCGTGTTTATATTACATATTGTTTTATGTATTTATTTTTATTGATTGAAGGGATTTTGTAAACATCAGCCCATGTGGAGAAGTAGTATATAAATATATGTACGGTATTGTTTTATTGGTTGGATACAAAATGGATTTTGTACACCCCTCTCAGTCCATATGGAAAAGTAATATAAGAATATTTTTAAAATGTGGCTGAATTGATCCATTGATCCGAACTTTCATCTAAATCGGTTAATCTGATTTTTTTTAAAAAGGAAGTGGGCTATAACCCAATTTAATCATTTCAAAAAAACATCTCAATCCGCCCTGCAGACTGACTGACCCCTGAAGACCATGGAAGGTAATAAGCAGCGTCTTGAAGCTTCTGCTCTGTTGCTGAGTAGCCAGCTTTCTCTCTCTCTCTCTTTCTGCCAGGTTGTGGCCAATGCTGTTGCTGCCTTGTCTGAAATCAGCGAATCTCACCCCAACAGCAATCTGCTAGATCTGAACCCTCAGAACATCAACAAGCTACTCACTGCTTTAAATGAATGCACGGAGTGGGGGCAGATATTCATCCTAGACTGCCTTTCCAACTACAACCCAAAGGATGACCGTGAAGCGCAAAGGTAGATCTGTGACTCCCCCTACATGAATGGGAATTCTCCTTTCTTAAAAGCTTGAGAAAAGTTCTGTGACTTCTTCACTGTGGTGGGCTATATAATCCTTTTGACCTATTAGACCGATTAGATCGCACAGACTGGGCCTCCTCCGAATCCCATCCGCCAGTCAATGTCGACTGGCGACTACACGGAG